AGAGAGAGAGAGAGAGAGAGAGAGAGAGAGAGGGGGGGAGAGACTTGACAGTACAACCACCGGCTCACCTCGGGGCACAGGAAGGAAGACAAGTAGATCTAGCAGACCCACAGATCGCTTCCACCAACAAACTCCCGGTACTTCGCCCACTAAATGTCACAGCGGATCAAACAAATCACTCTTATCACAACCAACACCTTGGCGTACTGTAGATTCTATATCCCCCCCCCCTCAAACCCAAATCCTGCCCCATCAAAGTCAAAGATGATGCTCGTAAGCGGCACGTAAGAAGCAATGAAGAGGAGACACTTGTTTTGTTTTGTTAGAGTTTTACGGCACTTGCAACACACATACACACGCGCGCGCGCGCTCCTCGAGAAGATATCGATACTTTGGGCGTCGTTTTTTCTCCTTTTTCATACGGGAGGCGCGAAGAGAATGTCTGAGTTTCCACCACTTCCTACTCCCCCCCCTTTTTGGGGGTAATTCTTTTACGGCGCTCTCAACTGCATAAGGGCATATAAAATATAAGCGCCCGGGACACATGAAACATTTTCAGTTGGTATGAAATTTTGAATTTTGCCCGGGTGGCGGCCAAAGCCTACTTCACTCATCAATTTTGGACCACCAAGGGCTCTTTAACGAGCGCAACTTGCACATGAGATGTCCGAGACTTTTCACCATTATCCAAGACGACTAGTTGCACATCTTACTTACCATAAGATCAGGGGTGTGGCTGAAAGACAACAGTAAGAAGGAGCTAAGGAGTAGCACTAGGAAGGCTGCAGAAAGAGTCCGGAGCCCAGAGGAAAGGGCAAAGGAGGCGAGGGGTGAGGGCAGAAAGTGGAGACGAAAGCAGACGACAGAACATTTTTAGACGGCAGGAAAGGATGTTTGTTTTAGTAGAGGTTTTACGGCGCCCGCAACTGCATAAGGTCATTTGAGCGCCAGAAGATTAGAGGTGTTACAAGAGAGTAACAAACATAAAAAAGAAGGGAAGATAAGGACGATATATCTTTCATAGGAAAGAAGAAGCAAACCATACCAGAGCACCCGACAACCACCCACGCAGGAAAGGATGTGAAAGGATAAAATTTTAAGAGAAGAAATTTGTTCGTGGCTATTCGGATTGGAGCCCGAGACCTTTAAATGAGAGGCGAACACCTTAACCTCTAGACCAAGAGAACCCCCTCCCACGTGTTCGAGTCAGTACGTACATACTTGATCTACATAGATATACAGTGGAACAGTGCATATTGAACACCCATCAGTACAGTGCCGCAGACAGATCAGGATGTGCCCTTCATATAACACATAACATAGTAGTAAAAACAATCGGGTCACGTGACTAGTAGGGCATAAGTAGGACCTGGCATGCGGTACTCACAATCCACAAGGCCCTCAGAGAGTACTTACAGCTGATATATATTACAATAGAAATATTGGCGCAAGATGCGGCACGTGAAAGAATAATGCTACCGTAAAATGAGGTCACAATATGAGTACCCCACCCCATGCACGCGCACGCACACACCACGAAAAGTTTCGGGGTGTTTCTTTCTTTTTAATATTTTACGGTAGGCGCGAAAGATGTTTGTATGTTAAAGAAGAAGGAAGTTCCCCGGGACGGGACCGTATGACTAAAAACTTCCTGCCTGTTCGTTTCAGTACAATCATACACACACACACACACATATAT